AAGTTTAACGTGTACCACCGGTGGTACACATGGCACGGAACGTGTTAACAGTGAAAGAACCGTGTCGAAATATTCTACATTATACTACATGAGTCATTGGACTTGGATAATTCAGATAACGATTAAAATAAATAGATTCGTACAACTGCGTTTCCAAGCAGAAGTTAATTTTGACAAAAAAAAACGAAAGTCTGAAGTCAGTTCTAATGATAATAAATAATACACATTCCTTACAGGAAAAGTGTTAAGAAACAGCAAAGAAACTATCCTACGATCATCAGTCGTTCTCTGTCACAGCCACAGTTAAATGTCTACGTCTCTTTTCTCCTCGATTTCTCTCTTCTCTCTAAAAGCGTGTCTATTTCTTCCGGACCGTTCTGCTACAATTCGCTTCGGTTAATTCGCGAAAAAAGGCACGAGAGAAGGAGTCGCCTCGGTCAGGATAGCTGGTAGCGAACATCAGATCCGAACGGTTCTTCTTGGTCTTGTGCCCGGTTTCTGCGCGATTCGAGGTTCCTCCGCCGCCGCCGCCGCCGCTGACTGCACGAGTGTTTGCAGTCCACTCGAAACGAGTCCCGGAGCGAGCTGGCGCGCGCGCAACGGAGACAGAGACGCGGAGAGACGAGGACGGGATAGAGACAGACGGACAAAGCCATGGAAGAGTAGTAGAGACGCTCCGGCATTGAGACGGGAGGCCAGGAACGAAGCTTAATTTGTCTAACGAGGGGCCTCTGCACCTGTCATCTGGTCCAAGATATGGACGAACGGACCGTAGACCAACCCCTGTCCTCCATCTCCTCCTACTCTTCCTCCCAGCTTCAACCCCCAGGAAGCATTTGCTTTTGCTTGCTTCTTGCTTGCTTGCTGTTTCCTGGCTCGCTTTGCTTTCGTCCTCACTCGACTTGCTCGACCCATGGTAACAGGAAGATTCATGGGATATAGTTGAAAACGAGCTTTTCCTAGATCTCTGTGACCATAAATTGTCGCTTGAAGATCTTCCTAGATAGTTCCTCTCAATAATGTTATCAAACAAATTTCGCTTCTTCCCCGAGTCCTCAGTTCAGACATTAAACAACATTCGTCTCTCTGCATACATCTACTTTAAAACGAATTGCACTGTAGTAGCCTGCATTTTGTACACAAAAATATCTTACCTGATTTTTAACTAGAACTACCGACAGTTAAGATGAAGCTATTTCTATCAAAACCAGTCAAAATGACTGGTCTTTAAAAAATACGTAATAATAGAATATTTTTATATTTATTGATTTATTACTTTCTTGCAATAGAAATCCCATATTACGTAGTTAATACCAAATTTGTTGGCAAATATTGAATAAATCTGCATCTGGCTTTAGATATAAAGAGTTGTTTGTAACATTTGCACCTAGTTTGTAGCAACTCTGACTATTTTGACTAAACTTATCCCATATAGCTGACATCAAAGCAAATTTATCACTTTGTAAACGTTGACTTCATCACTTTTTTCATCAAAGCAAATAAATCTCAACATTTTGGTAAAATCATTTCATGGTGTTGGAGAAGAAGTTTTTCTGTTCCAAATTCTTTGTTTCGTTGTTCCCCGTGCATACAAAATTCTAAATTTTTTACCCAAAACTCGAGAATACTTCTAATTCCATGCAAGATATTATACGTCCAAGCATATGGTTGTCAGTTAGTAAAGAAAATGCACAATTTTCCTGATAATTATCGCCATCTTGATTATATTATTTCTCTAGTTATCACTGCAAAAGTCATTACATCATGGCGGGGAAAAAATGTAATTCTAAAATAAAATAGAAATAGAAATTTTAAAATAAAAATTGTAAAACCAGTCATTTTGACTGGTATGGTAATTCTAATCATATTACAATAAAATCAACATTCAATTTCAGGTTCATCCAGTTTCACATATGTGAAAACATATTCGATGCAAAAAATGAAAACGCATCCAACGAGGTTAGAATTCCGTACGTGGATAGGGAATGCGGTTTCCTGGACGGAGGGTCGGATTCGACCGGGTCAAACGCGTGTGCCTGGCGTTTACGCCCCTCGGTAAATCAATCACACACCGTGTAACAACGTTTTGTTTTTACGGTCACGCGTGGAGAACTTCTTGCCACGCGCGTGTACCCGTCCGATCACGCCTCCTGGCCCCTGTCAACCTCCGATGATCGTAATTCATCTTCACCGGAATCGGTGCCTCTCGTAAATTGCATTCTCCTAAATCACTGAATACAATCAGTTTTAGCCTGATCTTAATTACCAATCTTCGTTAGTAATTATCAATCTTGTTATGATCGCTTCGTCTCAGACAATATTAATAGACTTCTGAAGAGAACGATACGAGTGATTCGAGACGAGAAGGAAAAACGAATTCAAGATATCATAGATCAAGTATAAAATAGGCCGAAAATCACTTCCTAGTCAAATAAATCCGTAACTTTTTTTTATCATATATTAAATAACTTACGTTAATAACTTAAATTTAATTTAAAATTAGTAAAACTAGTTTTTCCTGTTGAAAAAAGATAAGTGGGAAAAAACTTTTGACCCACCCTGTATAAAGAATTGTCCATTTGAATTTTCCTACGCGATTGTTACAGAAACTGCCGATTTGTCTTTGAATTTCTAACCTCTAAAGTATCTTGAATTTTCCTTCAGTGCAAAACACACGTTTTAAAGATATATAGGTGAGCAAAGAAAATCCCTAGAAAAATCCCTAAAAATCGTCGTCCATCTGTGCGTCGAAGAAAAGGCATATATTGAAACACATTCGTCAGACCACATTTGACGAGAGTTCGTATCGCCACGAGCTACAGGAAGAACCTCGACGTCGACGAGATAACGAATCGCTGATACAAAGCGATAGTCGCTTGCTCGCCTTTGTAATCTCAACCAGACAGACAGATCGACAGCGCTGACGGGGAGAGAACGGACGACACGTGAAAGGGCCCGGGGCAGGGCTTGCTTCTGACGACGGTGATATAGCAGTCACCGATGGTGGTGGAACATCCGCTAATTGGATAATTACGGAGTGCATCGCGTTTGTTTTATAATTGGGCGAAAGCCGTGGAACCGTTGGTTCCACCTCGACGTGCCAAACAACGAAACGACCAGAGTCACGCTCTACGTGACGAACTACCCTCGAAGCTAATCCCAGGACAGGAACCCCTCTGCACGGCTCGCGCTCTCCCGCCTCTGACCCTTGATTTACCATCCTCGCCCCTCCCTTCCAGCCACCTTCTCTCTCCCTTTCTATCGTGCACGCAACCAAGGAGCGACTAACTTCGAACAAACGGAGAATCAACTCCCTTTGCCCGTCTCCTCACTCTGGCACTGTCACGCGGATTTCAGATGGAAAAATCTTGCGTGGCTACGAAGTCACGGCTCGTTAACAACCGCCGCTGGTCGACTCTTAATTGGAACAGCCCTAATCGGTTCGCAATTTTCGGGGACAGTTCTCTCCGTGACTTTAACGAGTTTGACGTGGACGACGGAGGTAACGACGAATCGAGGATTGGGTGAGCACGATTTTCCTCACGTGTACGAAGAAAAGCAGAGACAAAAGAAACCAGGGATTTATTCGAAGGCAAATATCGATAAAGCAAAAGCACGAAGTTGCCCCCAGAGTTGTCGCTATTGCGATCGATATACATATATATATATATTATGTGCAAGCATTTTTCTCTTTTTATGAAAATGTCGATTTCGTTAAAATTGGCAACGTGATTATTTGACACTAGAATTACCAAAATGGTAAATTACCAAATTGAGCAATTTATCACATTTTGAACATACAGACGTGTTTTTAGAGATTTAGATTTTCCGTTAAAAATTTGTGCATTTCATCGTATTGTAAACTTTTCTATTTCTTTTACTCTAACATCTCTGATGGAAATTTTAATCGCTGGTAGTTCTAGTGTTAATTGCAATCACCGATATAAAATATGTAGAATTCTAATCAATTATAATACAAATTACAAAGTGAAAATGAAAGCCAAGTTTCTATAATTCACAGAAGGCAGTAATTAAGTAACTAACAGCTAATATGTAACTTTATTTATGGTTGTAATTAAGATAATGTCGCGATAAATGAATTAAAAACAAATGTCAAATCAAAGAAACAAAAGACGATTTTAACTGATTGACGCATAAAACACGAAACAAGTACGTAAACGATGAGATGGGGGAGCCGTCCCGACTTTTGATAGGGTGCAGAAAACAATGAATACCCGTACGCGTTTTTTATTCGACATGTTATCTGAACAGGTCGCGTGCGCTTTAATTTGGTTCTAGTAAGCACGGTATTGTTTGAAAAGATCGAGAGTTCTGACTCACATTGAGAATAGCACATAACGCGCGATAACCACCTTATTGCCCAATATAAATCAGACTGGCATCCCTTCCTTTCTTTTTACTCTTCTTTAAATATCAACGGATATTTCAATGTCAATGTAAGATAGTTTAAAAATATTCAAACACTCACCGTGATACGCTGGATAAGGCGATTGCGGTATCGATACAGGATTGTAC